TATTGAAAGGGTTAAGAGTCATTGTATATATCAACTTTGTTTGTTTTTTGTTATTTTATGGCCTTATAACAATTATATTCAACCATTTTTATTGAGCTTGGGGCCGTTTTTAAGAACAATAACTGTGCCGAGTTTGGTAGATATGATAAGTCGGTCTGCGAATTACCCATATATAGTCATAAGTGCTAAATTCTGATATATTGCTAAAAGATTATTGAAAACGTCGATTTTGAGGGGTGTAGCTTTTTTAATTACTAATTTAGCGCAGTTTTCGTATTTCAGTAAATTATGTTATACGGGAGACGGGCGTGGTTAATGTACATATGTTCGTACCGAGGTTGGAAAGGGTTGGTGAAGAGGATACTGAGTTACAGAAATTCTTCATAAGTGGGCCTTTCCGCGCATTTTTTCCAAAAATTTCCTATCGATATTATTTTATGCCGAAATTCTTCTTCACATACTAATTCTCAACAATTTAGATTCAGTATTTACGAAAATCTCAAAGTTTTTCCACTTTTAGAAACCGCAGTTATATGGGAGGTGAGCATGGTTAATCTCCGATTTCGTCCATCAATACCAACCTACCTTGGATAAAGAGCAAACCTTCTGTACCAAATTTTTTGAGATATCTCATGCTTTACACGAGCTATCGTGTCCACGAATAGACGGGCATACAGACCGACATCAGACAGACAGCAATCAATTTATCTTTTCATTCTGATCATTTTAATGTATATACATATGTCTATATCTAACTCGATTCCTTTAGACTGTTGCATACAACCGTTATGTGAACAAATTTAAAATAACCTTGTGCAAAGGTTAGCTCGGCTATAAACAAAAATGGGTACCATATGCATACCCTGAGGGAAAAAAATATTAAAATCAAATAGAAACGTAATTGATGTTATTATAAACGTCAACGAAAGTACTGTATATTGGTAAATATTCAATTGAATTATGCGAATATTAAAATGACCGCGTTCGTTCTGAAAAAGCATCCGTAAAGTGAATAATCAAGACAAAAACTAAAAAAAAAACTATTTAACTTGCATGTTATGTTGCCTGCAGTCGAATTCGAACCCTGACCATTTCTGGATATAAACAAGTTGTGGCATGCGTCTTTGCGCACTTAGCTACACCCAGGCATATAAATTTGTTTTCAAATGTTGAATATCCATCAACACCACAGCACGCGATTTGTATGGATAAACATGTACTATGTATGAATGTGTGTGTTGTCACCACTCTCAGAGCGGCGTTCTGCATGCTTGGGGTGCGTATGTACACTCATATATATACTCAGGTGTGAACAGTCAAATACGTGCGTAATAAATTTTGTATGAAAATATTATTTTTAAATTCGAACATTTTTAAACGATAATCAAATATAAAGTATTCATTTTTACTATGCATTATTTCCCTCGGTGTAGTAGATACCCACTTTTTAATGTAGCAAAGTTCTGTAAATCATCTAAACTCAAAAGTCATGAGTCATTTCGGTTCGTTTGATTTCAGTGACAATTTACCTTCCTGTATCCGAACGCATCTGCTATTCAGTAAACTTCACCAGCCAAAGGTAAACAATTTTTGTCATTTATAGATCAATTTATAGGAGAATTCAGTTAGGATTAACCAACCATTTAAGCAGAAGAGGTGGAAATATCTTATGTCACTTTCAAAATAAACATATCAATATCGTCATTAAAAAATGTTTTTAATGAATTCCCGATACAGGTGTCGACTAAATTTCCGAGAAAGTGCCAAAATAAATGTGATGTTTTATAGTCGAAGGTTTAGCAAAGAAGAAGGAATGTTCTTTATTTTAAACAGGAAATAACCTTAAAGCTAATTACGACTTTCAGAGCATAGATACCAAGGCACATTAAACAGGTAGTATCAGTAGAGCAAAAACAACATTTGCGTGTATTTTGTTGTTGCTTCTGGTATCGAAAGTGTCAAAAACTGTTCTGAATTTTTTCTTCTAAATCAAAGCGTGCCATGTGAAATACAAAAAATTATAAAAAATAAAAAATTGAAATTGGAAAAAATAAAAATTGATGCAACTTTCTTTCCTAGTAAATTTGTTTGCTTCTCGAAGCATTGATCCATCCTTTACAAGGGCCAGTAATCAGCGGTTGTGCTGCTGAGTTGGGCGAACGTTCCAAAAGCTGCTATTCAATCGCTTGTTTTGTATGGAAAAAGGTTTCACATGCAAATGGATTTTAACAATTCAGAATTTTTGTGAGAAATTTTCGAGACCAAATAATTTGAAATAAATCAAATCAGCTGCTCTACTGATACTACATGTTCAATGTACCTTGATAGATACGTAAATTACAACTAGCAGTGTTGCCATACTGTCTGCTTAACATCTACATGTATACTCAACAACTCCCTCCTAAGGATATTTATATACATATTTGCATAAATTGAGTTATACTATTTTTGTAATTCATTGTATGTACTTATAAGTTAATATTTTAAACAAACTACGAACTATATAGACTAATTTTCAGATATCTAAATTGAATAAAATTATGCATATGAATATTTTATGATTATTATTTCAATTTCATAGTTTCGAAAAAGTAACGACTTCAATTGTTCTGATTACCATTTTTGTTAGCTTGTTGAAGAGCAATGTGTTCATTGATTTTCTCTTTAGCTCTTGCAACTGTTTGCCTTGTTTTAGGTCTTTGAATAACATTTGAAATGGAATCGCTTGCATCTTCGTATACATTATCCTCTACTGCGGAGTTATTGATCTTAACCAGCGGCTCATCAACCTTCACGATAGCTGTTGGTCCCGGCGCCCTACTCGTTTCTCCGAAAGGTTCCTCAGAAAATGTTTCAGTATCACTATCGGATTGATAATTTGATCTAAATGTCTCTTAATGCATGTATAATTTCTTGGGCCTAATTTCTTTTTTATTACAGCAGGAAACCACACTGATTTATTTGGATTTTTGTAGTCTCGAACATAAACGTTCTGCCCAACAGAAAAATCCACATTACGTCTGCCTTTAAAATTTTTAATTGCATTTCTTTGCATTGACTCAATGATATCTTTGGTGGTTGGTGGTTTCATTAGACTAAATCGAGATTTTAGTTCGCGATTAAGCAAAAGTTTTGATGGAGATTCATTGGTTGTGCAATGTTTTCAAATTCGATAATCAAAAACGAATCGCTGTAAAATTACATAAAAATTATATACGTCATTTCGTTCTAAAGTTGCTACAAGATATTTTTTTGTTGTTTTCATAAAATTTTCTGCTCGTCCGTTAGTGGACGGCTGACCTAGTGCAGTGAGGCTTAGTTTAATGCCACAGAAGTAAATTGCCTTCCGTTGTCACTCACCAATACATCACACAAACCAAAGCGACTGAAAACTTCTCGTAATTTATTTATCGTGAAAGAAGTTGTTATGACCTTAGATTTGTAAACTTCCGGAAACTTCGAAAAAGAATCAATGACTAAAAATAAGTGATACCCATGAACAGGATCTGCAAAATCCGTGTGAATACGTTTCCATGCTGAATCTGTTGGTGTCCAGGGAATTAAAAAACTTTTCTCACACTGAACCAAAAATTCATCTCTGGATCAAAGAAAAACTTTAGTTACTTTAAGGTAGAAAATTCTTCCGAATGAGTAAAAAATTCTCCCGAATGCGTAATTTTTCTTTGGAATGTGTAAAAACGTACAAGAAAATATGGAACCGTGGATGTAATCTATCATTTTGAAGAAATGTTGGGCATGAAAAGAGGATAAACTCCTCTAGAGCTGATTCGTTCCCATTTTTCTTCATTTTGATAGCTGTTTTTCTTCAATTAAGAGAAGTTTTTTTTTGGGTGCAGGATTAGCCTGGTATTTTAGACATGGTTCGCAACTCTTTATCAACTTTTCGATATCTAGACGTACCATCTAGCCAATGATTTGGTTTTGGCTATACCTAAATGGGATTTATGTAGTTATGTAACACACTTGCTTGTAATTTGCTCGGAGTAACCGTACGGTAACCCCATAAAATGCATCCCGATTCAGCAGTCAGTTCAGATGCTTTCATTTTGAATGCATGAAATTCAGTACCATTTAATTTAAAAACTGTGCCATTCAAAATGGAATCTGAGACCTTCGATAGAATCGCATCACGACGTGTGTACTTTGCTATTGTTGAAAAATCTAACTGAAGGGAATTCACAAAGTCCACATAATTGATGTATGTGCTTTCAAGCTTTGTGTCCGTGTTTTCAATTTGGCCTATACGTGATAAACTATCCGCACTATTTAGAGTACCTTTAATATACGCGATGGTATAATTGAACCCCGATAAAATGAATCACCGATCACCGAAAATAGCGAGCAATGGTCTATGATCAGTTTGAAGTGTAAAATATATACCCAGTAAATACTGTTTTAATTTGATCACGCTGAAAATTATAGCTAATACTTCCTTCTCAATAGTGCTATAATTCATTTCAACATTATTTAATGCTCTACAGCTGTGATTCCCAAAGTGGACCAGGTGACGTGAAAAAATTTGGGGGTCCATGAGTTATAAATGGGGGTCCACGAAAATTTATCTGGATTCGATGTAAAGATCCGAAATGGTTGCTTGATAGCCTCTTTATTTAACTTTAATTTTTTTGAGTGGTGCAAAGTGCTCTTGACGCACTGCTGCACTTACCCTCACTTTGTGTTTTCATACGTGGGAAGCCTTAAAGGCCACCTGCAGACTAAAAATAACCGGATGCTGGTAGGACAATGAGTGGGGCGCGGCGAAAATTGATGGCGGCAGAGATTTAAGTACTTGTGCCTTTTCAATGCTACAGGATAGTACGCCACCATTACCTTTGTTGAAGAGATTCTATAATGTTAGTTCCCTGAGACTGAATGCTGGTTTGATTCCATGGCTGAGACCGGACTCACACATTGTCGAATCTTCACTGATGGCTCCAAAAGAGACTCTGGGTCATGATCTGGAGTCTTTTTCGAGGTTAATGGAGGTAAGCTTCAATTTTCTGTAGGGGAATATGCTTCGGTCTTCCAGGATGAGGTAATTGCAATACTCAAAGCCATGGACTACGTGATGGTACATAGGTGGAGGCGAAGGAGTTTACGTGACTCCTGTGACAACCAAGCTGCACTTAAGGCATTGACCAGCCCTCTATTTAAGTATGTACTTGCAAACTAGTTCGGCAATGCAAGTCTCGACTAAAATATGATGGTAAACATAACTAGGTGGTTTTACTCTGGGTGCCAGGTCACTATGGAGTACCTGATTATGAGACATATGATAATTTGGCCAGAGTTGGCTCAGACCAGGCATTCCTCGGTCTGCAACAAGTTTTAGCACTCCCACCTTCGGCAATCGAAGCCACCATCAGAAACTTGGTGAATACTTCGCTCAGAAATGACTGAGAGGCATCGAGGGTATCAGGTAGGCAAAACTCAGGTTGCCTTCAATCTCACAAGGCTTATCTAATTCTTTGCTCTCACTGAGCAGACGACATTGCAGACAACTTGCTGGACTGCTGACTGGTCTCTTCACGTGGCACAAACACGTGACTGTGTTAGGCGTAAATGACAAGTTCATTTGCCCATCTTGCCTTGAAGAAAATAAGACGGCCGAACACTTTTTTGCTTCTTGCTTGCTTGGTTGTTTGCCATCGATTTTATTAAACTCGTTCTTTTCTCTATTGTGAATCTCTGAATTAAAATTTTGGTGTGTGTTTAGCCGTTTTGATGTTTTAAGTTTTGTGTTTTAAAAATGTGATAAATATTTTTCGCCTCACTTTAAAACTCGGTGCGATAAAAATAAAAATGACGCCATTAAGACAAATAAACTATTTTACATATACTCCTCGTGCAAAGTCATGAGTGAGCAGAACATTTGATGAGTTTATGGTGAAGATAATGTAAATAACGCTAGCACTCGCAGTGCTCTTAAAAAGTATAGCTCTTCCGAGCGAGAGTGTATTTTGATGTATTTACGAACTCTAAACCTACAAGTGTGTAATCACATTATTTTTATAAACAGAACGCAAGAAAATATTTTACTTTTATTTTGGCCACTCTGAGTTTAGTTTTTGAATTCACCCGCGAAGCAAATTTACATTGTTAGATCTAATTTTCACATATAATTTTTTTACGAGCTTTGGGAATATTTAGAAATATATCAGCACAGGGTCCACCGAAACCAGTAAATTTTTGAAAGGGGTCTACGAGAAAAAAAGTTTGGGAACCTCTGCTCTAGAGACATAAGCGATTGGTCTCATTGTTCCGTCTTCATATTTATGAGACAAGACACCAGCGATTGCTGTGTTGCATGCATCGGTGGATAGAACTATTGGTAGTTCCTGATTAAAATGAACTAAAACTTTATCAGAGCAAATCTTTGATTTCATTATTTCAAATGCTTTTTGACATTGAGAATTCCATTTAAATTCAACGTCTTTTTTCAGTAAATTATACAAAGGAGACATTTTCTGAGCGAAATTTGAGATGAACTTTGAATGATAATTTACCATTCCAATGAAAGCTCGAAGTTCTGAAATGTTTTTTGGTTTTGGTGCGTTGAGCACATTCTTGGTGCGGTCTTGGTTCCTAGCTAGACCATATTCTGTGAGTTAAAATCCCAAATAAGAAATGCCATCCTCGCCGGCAATGTGATGTTTTATAGCCGAAGGTTCAGCAAAGAAGAAGGAATGTTCTTTATTTCAAACAGGAAGTAACCTTAATGCTAACTACGAATTTCAGTGCATAGATACGTAAATGACAACTATCAGTGTTGCCATACCGTGCGCTTAACATCTACATGTATACTCAACAATAAATCTTAATGTCTTCTTAAAAAGTTAATTTCAGAATTCCGTACGATTTTAAATATATCGACCCATATACATAACTCGCATAATTTTATAATTTTTTTAAATAGATGTTCACCGGTGATGAGCTGATATTGCCAATGTCGTTGAGTAAAAAAATGCACTGTCTGAGTTTCAATAAGAACAAACAAAAGTTGGAGGATCGAGAAAGAAATTTAGCAGTGGTACAGTGGGCACAATTTATTGAGCATGATCTCAGTAAACCTGTAGTTACTTCGATGGGTAAGTGTCTATATAAGTTACCATCGTATTAAAACTTTGTAAAATTATTTAATTTTGTAGGGGATGGAAGCCATATTGAATGCTGTAATAAAAATAACTTTGAACTGGGTCCACGACATCGTCATCCTTTTTGTGCGCCTCTGATAATAAACAGTGGAGAATCTTTGTACGGCAAAGCCGATTGCTTGAATTATGTGCGGAGCGCTGTAGCTGTCAGTACAAAATGTACATTCGGTGCAATAGAACAAGTAAAGCTCAGTTTAATTTGCATGCATACATACATAGTTGTATATGTATATACATAGATATTAATTAAAATAACTTAACATTGCAGTTAAATCTAGCGACATCCGGTTTAGACCTTTCACAACTTTATGGTTTTACACATGAAGCACAAAAGCAAATGCGTTTATTGCAAAAGGGTCAAATAAAAAGCAGTGCAAATGGTAGCCTATCAGAGATTTACACTGATAAACTGCCTAAGATAAATGACAACGCGATCCACTACTGTGCTTTTGAAAATTATTCCAATCAAACCGGACACTGTTTCATGGCGGGAGATTCCCGCGTTAACAATAATCCGCTTACCATCGTAATTTATACAATGTTTATGAGAAACCATAACCAAGTAGCCAAAAATCTGGCTTCAAGCTATCCACTATGGAACGATGAGGACCTTTTCCAAACTGCAAAAGCAATCAACATACACATCTATAGGAATATTGTATTTGACGAGTGGTTGCCTATTATATTGGGTGAAGATACTGTGGTGAAAATAAAGCAGGGATCCCTTAGTAAGGCCCATGAAGAGGATGACAGAGTTTCAAATGAATTCGCTGTCGCCGCCATACGATTTTATATTTCGATGCTGCCGAATGTCTTAAATAATTCAACTGGAGCTAAGCGCCTGGAATACAATACAACCAACTCTTCATTTGGTCTAACTAGGTAGGCTTTTTTATAATAGATATTATCAAATTTCAGTCTCAATAGAGGTTATTTTTTTACAGAAATATCCTTCCCAGCGAAAATGTAATATCATTGATTGATCAAACATACAAACCTAAATTGGAATATACGTCCAAGAAAATCGATGCATTAATCGAATCCATTTTAAATCAACCTGCTATGAAACTGGATACTATATATGATGACAGTGTAAGTAACGTTAACTGTAAGACACAAAAGAACATAACATTTTCGTCAATACAGCAGACCCTTTTTGTAATTTTTTATATACTTATAAGTTCTAAGTTATTATAAGTTGCTCTAAGATGCACCTGCTTACAAAAACCAAATCCTAAACTATACGAATAGCGCTGTAACCATTTGCTAAATTAATTTGAAAAGTTTTCTACTTCTGTAAAATGTCAGTTTGGTCTAATTCAATTCTCTTGCATAGACTATAAAGAAAGGTACTAATCAAGGCGAATTTATACCAAGTGGTGTTACTAGCGAATTTAGATTTTCGCCGCAGTACTTCTTAATGTCAAAATGATGTGTTTGTTGTAATATGAATTCGCCTTGGTTACAACAAACACATCATTTTGTCATTAAGAAGTACCGCGGCGAAAATCAAAATTCGCCAATAACACCACCTGGTATAAATTCGCCTTGGTACTTATATATAGGTTCGTTACACTCTAAAGGTCTGATTATGCATACTTCGCATAACTTCGCACAACCATTTGTACCAGCGCAATAAAAATGTAATTTAAGAAAATGTGAAGCAAAATCTAAACTCAACAGATCGCTAAGTTTTTAAAAGTTCTGCTAATTTATGGGTAATGGAAACACACACAAAATACATACAAAGTACATACGGAATTACAGTTTGAAATTTATGCGAAGTTATGCGAAGTATGCATGATCAGACCATAAACCAGTGGTCAGCAGGCCATTGCGCACTTAGCGTTCTTTGAGCACATGCGTGTTTCACACGTATACGAAGAGCGCAAGCACACAGTCTCACTTGCCGTCAAGGCGAATTTATACAAGGTAGTGTTACTGGCGAATTTAGATTTTCGCCGCGGTACTGCTGAATGTCAAAATGATGTGTTTGGTGTAATAAGAATTCGCCTTGTTTACAACCCACCACCAAGCCGAATTTGTACAAGGTGGTGTTGACAGACAAAAAAAATAAAATTACAACAACAAATTATACGCGCATTGACAATCAGTACACTGTAAAATTACAACAAACACATCATTTTGACAAAAGGTACAAATTCGCCGTGAAATCAGCGGATCCGAGAATACCACCTTGTATAGATTTGCCTCGAACACCACTTTGTATAAATTCGCCTTGCTTACCGTGGAAAAACAATGCCGGCGAACGGCGAACTCATCACAGCGGAGATCCCGTTGTCAAAATTAGAACACCCGCCGCCATATGAAATTCAACACAGCCAAAGCGAAATGAGAAGTTTGCTCGGCGGCGTTTCGTGGCGATAGATTTATTTCTATCGCTCTGCTGGGCAATGGCGGCAGTACATGCCAAAGGTGACCGTATGTTTCTTTGTTTTCAAAGATTTTGAAGAAAACAACATATAACACGAAATATTTTTATTTGTTGAAAAATACAGTGATCGATTGGTTAAATCTGGCTTAAAATAAAATTATTTATAATAATTCCTCCTTGCCTTATATTTATATTTGTTATCATTTCATCATTTCTAAATATGGTTTCGTTTTCAAAAATATGGTCACCTAAATTATAAGTGCGACGAAATGGTATCAGCTGTTTTCGCAACCGCTCTAATTCTGTTAAAGTATGCGAAATAGCAGGGCGAACGGTGAACGACGGAATCACCCAATTCGGCGAACTTCGCAATTCGCCGGGAATTGTGTTTCAAGCATTAGAGTGGCCACACACGACCAACATGTGCGCGAGCATCCGCGGCTTCCGGTGCATGTTCGTCGCTTGTGGCTCGGTTCACGAGAATTTTCGCATAAAATGAAAAAATTTTGATTTTTAGTGAGCATACTCGTCGTTTGTGGCGTGGTTTGCGAACATTGCATTTGAAACAAAAACAATAACCTCATTTGGTGCTGATGCTTGCAGTGTGCACATCGGCGGATAAATGAAACCAAGCCATGTGCCTTAATTGAATTTTGGGTAAATAACACTAAATCTATTATATATTTGTGAAAGTATGTATGTATGTATGTGCCAGGTTGAAGTCTAAACGGACGGACAGAATCGAACAAAATTTTGACAGAGTATGGCCATGACACCTAGGCCTATAATAGGGTGAAAACAAATTGGGATCCGACAAGGGGCCTTGGCACCTCCCATAGGCGTGGAATTTTTCATCAGCTATAACTTCAGAACCATAAGTCACACGAACTTTAAATTTGGTATGCAGACATATCAATGGTAGGTGCTTATACGAGGGTATATATAAACGAGTTTGTAAAAAGGAGCGGGGCACATCCCATAGGCGTGGAATTTTTTATCAGCTATAACTTCAGAACCATAAGTCTCACGAACTTGAGATTTGGTATGCAGACATATCAATGGTAGGTGATTATAGGAGCGAATGTAAAAACGAGTTTGCAAAAAGGGGCGTAGCACATCCCATAGGAGTGAAATTTTTTATAAGCTATAACCTCGGAACCATAAGTCACACGACCTTGAAATTTGGTATGCAGACATATCAATGGTAGGTGATTATAGGAGCGAATGTAAAAACGAGTTTGCAAAAAGGGGCGTAGCACATCCCATAGGAGTGAAATTTTTTATAAGCTATAACCTCGGAACCATAAGATAAGGGAATTTGTGAAAGAGGGCTTGGCACATCCCATCGGCGCGGAAGTTTTTATCAGCTATAACTTCAGAATCATAAGTCTCACGAACTTGAAATTTGGTATGCAGACATATCAATGGTAGGTGATTATAGGAGCGAATGTAAAAACGAGTTTGCAAAAAGGGGCGTAGCACATCCCATAGGCGTGGAAGTTTTTATCAGCTATAACTTCAGAATCATAAGTCTCACGAACTTGAAATTTGGTATGCAGACATATCAATGGTAGGTGCTTATACGAAGGTATATATAAACGTGTTTGCAAATGTGGGCTTGGCACATCCCATAGGCGCGGAATTGTTTATCAGCTATAACTTCGGAACCATAAGTCTCACGAACTTGAAATTTGGTATGCAGGCATATCAATGGTAGGTGCTTATAGGAGGGAATGTATAAACGAGGTTGTAAAAGGGGGTGCGGAACATCCCATAGGCGTGGTTTTTTTTATCAGCAATAACTTCGGAACCATAAGTCACAGGAATTTTAAATTTGGTATGCAGACATACCAATGGTGGGTGCTTATAGGAGGTTATATGTAAATAAGTTTGTAGCAGGGGGCGTGGCACATCCCATAACCGTGGAATTTTTTATCAGCTATATCTTCGGAACCATAATTCCCACCATAAGTCTCACGAACAAGAAATTTGGTATGCAGACACATCAATGGTAGGTGCTTATACGAGGGTATATATAAATGAGTTTGTAAAAGGGGGCGTGGCTTATAGGAGCGAATGTAAAAACGAGTTTGCAAAAAGGGGTGGGCACATCCCATAGGCGTGGATTTTTTTATCAGTCGGTACCACAAGTCCCATGAACTTGCAATTTGGTATGCAGACATATCAATGGTAGGTGCTTATAGGAGGGAATGTATAAACGAGGTTGTAAAAGGGGGTGCGGAACATCCCATAGGCGTGGTTTTTTTTATCAGCAATAACTTCGGAACCATAAGTCACAGGAATTTTAAATTTGGTATGCAGACATACCAATGGTGGGTGCTTATAGGAGGTTATATGTAAATAAGTTTGTAGCAGGGGGCGTGGCACATCCCATAACCGTGGAATTTTTTATCAGCTATATCTTCGGAACCATAATTCCCACCATAAGTCTCACGAACTAGAAATTTGGTATGCAGACACATCAATGGTAGGTGCTTATACGAGGGTATATATAAATGAGTTTGTAAAAGGGGGCGTGGCTTATAGGAGCGAATGTAAAAACGAGTTTGCAAAAAGGGGTGGGCACATCCCATAGGCGTGGATTTTTTTATCAGTCGGTACCACAAGTCCCATGAACTTGCAATTTGGTATGCAGACATATCAATGGTAGGTGCTTATAGGAGGGAATGTATAAACGAGGTTGTAAAAGGGGGTGAGGAACATCCCATAGGCGTGGTTTTTTTTATCAGCTATAACTTTGGAACCATAAGTCACACGAATTTGACATTTGGTATGCAGACATACCAATGGTAGGTGCTTATAGGAGTTTATATGTAAATATAAATAGTAGGTGCTTATACGAGGGTATATATAAACGAGTTTGTAAAAAGGGGCGGGGCACATCCCATAGGCGCGGAATATTTTATCAGCTATAACTTCGGAACCATAAGTCTCAAGAACTTGAAATTCGGTATGCAGACATATCAATGGTAGGTGCTTATAGGAGCGAATGTAAAAAACGAGTTTGCAAAAAGGAGCGTGGCACATCCCATAGGCGCGGAATTTTTTATCAGCTATATTTTCAGAACCATAAGTCTCACGAACATGAAATTTGGTATGCAGACATATCAATGGTAGGTGCTTATAGGAGCGAATGTAAAAAACGAGTTTGCAAAAAGGAGCGTGGCACATCCCATAGGCGTGGAATTTTTTATCAGCTATAACTTCGGAACCATAAGCCACAAGAACTTGAAATTTGGTATGCAGGCATATCAATGGTAGGTGCTTATACGAGGGTATATATAAACGTGTTTGTAAATGTGGGCGTGGTACATCCCATAGGCGTGGAATATTTTATCAGCTATAACTTCAGAACCATGAGTCTCACGAACTTGAAATTTGGTATGCAGACATATCAATGGTAGGTGTTTATAGGAGCGAATGTAAAAACGGGTTTGCAAAAAGGGGCGTGGCACATCCCATAGGCGTGTTTTTTTTATCAGCTATAACTTCGGAACCATAAGTCACACGAATTTGAAATTTGGTATGCATACATACCAAAGGTAGATGCTTATAACTAGGAGGGAATGTATAAACGAGTTTGTATAAGGGGGCGTGGCACATCCCATAGGCGCATAATTTTTTATCAGCTATAACTTCGGAACCATAAGTCTCACGAACTTGAAATTTGGTATGC